CATAAGAGAGCCACAGCCAAGGGAACCCTTCTCTTAAAGGGACCGTGCACACCTGCATTACAGGGAAAGACTACTTTAAGACTAAGTCTATTTTGTAGGCTACATGTGTCAGGATGTGTATGGTGAGGTAGGTTGGTGGACCCAAACGTAGGACACAGAGCGGAGCAGGTATAGTTCGAAAAAAGGTTTACAAAGCAAACAAAAGGCGAGCACACTGGCAGAGTGGCTGATTAACAGAGTCCAAAAACTAGGTGATACAAACAGAAGAAATCCAAGAAGGGGCAATAATCCAGGAACAGGGAACACAATAAGCAAGGCAGACAACATGAGACAGAGTGCATACACACGACAATGACCGGACAGGGAATGAACAGAAACACCAAACATTTATACACAGAGCAGGGTGGGAGCAACACAGGTGACTGCGATCAGGGTTAACGAGGCAGAGAGACAGAAGGGGAAAACAGAGAGACTGGATGGCAGGCAGATACTGGAGGTGAGCAGACATAACACAAGTACTCAACACTAAACACTAAGACATGAACCGAGACACAGAACGAGGAGCTAAGACACAGAGCTAATCCTAAGATACAAGATACATACTAAGTAAACTTAAAGATGCGGATGAATGAAATAATAAACAAGACTACACGGAAACTAAAGCAGAAAGATCAAAGTCATAATCACTAACCCCACAACCAGACACACAGACAGTAAGAGATCAACCAGCCCAAGCACAGAGAGTAACTGGACACAAGAAATAACTGATACTCAAAACACAGACTAACTATATAACAGATACTGGAAACCGGGCACTGATACTAACAAGACTACAAATAACATGACTGAGAACCAAAACAGAGCAGACACGCCTACAGTGTGTTACAGTGTTTTGGTATGTGTTGTCCTGTGTAGCCTGCTCTGCTCATCGTTCTCAGCCTGTCACCCGGTTTCTTTGGATTTTGGTTTCCTGTTTGGATTCCTTGTTTTTGGACTTGTTTAACAGCCACTCCGCCTGTAAGTGTGCTCGCCTTTGTTTATTAAACTTTTGAACTATACCTGCTCCAGTCAACGTGTCCTGCATTTGGGTCCTACAACCTGCTTCACCACACACGAATCGTGACAACATGTTTATAGGCTATACTGGATAATGTTAGGCCTATTGCCATATGTTTTATATATATCACAATCCATACGTATAGGGCTACAGTTTTTAAAGTTTTACAGTTTTTTACGGTTTTTAAAAATAAAAAGGTTATCTGCTGCAGCATTCGTTTTGTATCATCATCATGTAGCTTTCCCTAAAGTTACCATTCTGTATAGCCTATAGCCTTGCTATGTTGGCTAATGAAAATGAATGCAGCGTTTATGCATGTTTACTCTCTGCTAGTGCTAGAGCACAGCAGTACCCTCAGACTTGACAATGTGTTCTACTACGTACCTTTAACTCTACTGAATCCACAAATATATACAGCAAATGTGGGGAGTTCAAGGACTCAAACATATTTAGCTGACCTAAAAGAAGTTGCTAAACTGACTGGACAAAACTATACTGAAGTGCTGAACAAGATGATGGCCCAGATTAGCAAATCAATCTCAGAGCTGCGCCCTGATGTCAAAGCCGGTGTTGGTGTTAAGGCAGAACAGTCTTCAGTGAACACAACAACTCAGTCACCGCATAAAATGGCTCATGCTCAATACAAAGTCCCAGTGGTCGTAACAAATGATGACAAGCAGGACCTCTACATTCCACCATTGAGTGTCATCACAGAGCTCGGAACGTACCACTGCAATCTGTCACAGCATCAGGTGAAAAGCCATCTATCAGAACCTGCACTTACCTCTCTCAACTTTGATTTTGGTGACTCTCCCATACTATCGGAGTGGAAAGAGCAAATCACAAGGAGATTAAGCGACATGTCAGAGGTCTTCTCACATCATGACCTTGACTTTGGATGCATGAGCAAGGTAAAGCATCACATCACGCTTCATGATGGAACTCTGTTCAAACACCGTGCTAGACCAATCTATCCCAAAGACATAGAAGCCGTTCGTAGACATCTGAGCGAGCTTCTGGAGGCTGGTGTCATCCGTGAGTCCACATCACCCTTCTCGTCTACTATTGTCGTGGTATGGAAGAAGAATGGGGATATCCGATTGTGCATCGACTATTGGAAGCTTAATCTCCAGACCATCAAAGACGCCTACGCTCTTCCAAATTTAGAAGAATCCTTTACGGCGACCTCCATCTTCGTGAAGTGTTGATGTTTTTGGATGGTTTAATAATATTCTCCAATTCCCTTGAAGAACATGTAAGGAGATTGATACAAGTGCTGAACCAGTTGAGAGAATACGGATTAAAACTGTCACCAGAAAAGTGCAAGTTTTTCCAAACATCTGTCCACTACTTGGGTCATATTGTATCAGAGAAAGGAGTAGAAACGGATCCAGAAAAGATAAACACCATCAAATCCTGGCCAATTCCCACCAACCTAAAGGAACTACGCTCTTTTCTGGGATTTGCGGGTTATTACCGCCCTTTAATCAGAGACTATTCCACCATTGCCAAACCTCTGAACGGACTCACCCGTGGGTACTTACCTGCACGTCCAGAACCAAGCCATCCAACACTAAAACACCAAAGTCCAAATCAGCCTTTTCGAGAACATTGGAGTCCCAGTTGCCAAGTCTCTTTCACCACATTGATTGAGAAACTAGCCACAGCTCCAGTCCTTGGGTTTGCAGATCCATCCCAACCATACATACTTAATACAGACGACAGTTTGACAGGACTAGGAGCTGCACTCTATCAGGAACAGGAGGGAAAGCTGAGAGTGATTGCTTATGCAAGCAGAGGCCTGTCTCAGCGAAAGCCGCTACCCAGCCCACAAACTGGAATTCTTGGCATTAAAATGGAGTGTCACCAAAAAGTTCCAGGATTACCTGCATGGAGCCACGTTTACCGTTGTGACAGATAGCAATCCCTTGACCTATATACTCACCTCCGCCAAGCTGGATGCTACTGGTCACCGCTGGTTGGCCATGCCCTCCACATACTCGTTCAAACTCCTGTACCAGGCTGGGAAACAAAATATAGACGCAGCCGCACTCTCCTGACGTCCTCACCAGTGTCCTGATGAATCACCTAAAGATCATGAGCTCATACAACAGTTCCTGAAAAACCGTCTTGCCGATTCAAACCATTTTTCAAGGTTGTCTCGTCCGAGCTGCTCAGCCTGTCAGTCCTGGTCCTGAGGGCATTACGCTGGTTGAGTCCCTCCCCATCACAGCAAAGGCAGTCCCTGACAGCTACACCACTGAGGAGGATCAGCTACCTCCAGCCCTGTCTCATCTCTGCATCAAGGAGGAACAGACGGCTGACGCAGCCATCCGAGAGCTGGTTCATCAGATGGAGACAAGAGAAAAGATCCCTCCAATGGCAAGAACAGAGCTGCCTGAATTACCTCCCTTGTTGAGAGAGTGGGCAAGATTGGAGCTGATTGATGGAGTCCTATACAGGAAACATCAAGACAATGAAGATATTACTTACCAACTTGTTCTTCTAGAGTGTCTTCGTCCGGCTGTGCTAAAGAGTCTCCATGATGAAATGGGCCAGATGGGGACTGAGCACACCTTAGACCTTGTTCGCACCAGATTTTTGGCCCAAAATCTGGCCCAAGATGGCTAATGACATTGAGCACAAGATCAAAATGTGCGGTCGCTGTGTGTGACAGAAAGCTCTTCTGGAACGAGCTGCTCCACTGCTCGGCATCAAAACATCTCGTTCTCTTGAATTAATCTGCATGGATTTCCTGAGTCTTGAACCCGACACAAGCAACACCCGTGATATTCTCGTTTTGACCGATCATTTCACCAAGTTCGCTGTGGCCAATCCAGCGCCAAACCAAAAAGCAAGGACTGTAGCAAAATGTTTATGGGACAACTTCAACGTCTACTATGGAATTCCTGAACATTTGCATACGGATCAAGGTCAAGATTTTGAGTCAAAACTGATCAAGGAGTTCTATGAAGTTGCTGGTATCCAAAAGTGTCGGGCGACGCCGTACCACCCAAGAGGAAATCCGGTGGAAACATTTAATCAGACAGTGCTGGGGATGCTGGGTACTTTGGAAGACAAACAAAAATCAAAATGGAAAGACTATGTGAAGCCATTAGTTCATGCATATAACTGCACAAGAAAATAAGTAAACGGTTTCACCCCATATGATACCCCAACTAATATTTGGCAGAACACGTCTTCCTGTCGATCTGGATTTTGGCCTACCTCTGCGCGAGAATAGAGATGGACCACTACGTCAATTACATAGAGATCTCCTTCTGCCATTTAGCTTTCTACCAGCAGCTGAGAATGTCCCGTCGCCAGAGCGTGCCCATGTTGCCAAGCTGCGAACTTGCCAGCAAAAACGAAAATCATCGACTTAACTGCTAGTGATGATCACATTGAAGATGTGGAGCCACTTAGATTCAATCCATCCGTATCTCGATTCACTGTGGAAAGACACTGCAGAGTCCTGTGAGGAAGAGGAAGCTGTGGAAGAGGAAGATGTTGTGGAAAACGTAACTCAGACCTTACCTGAACCTGAAAACAACTTACCTGAATACTCACCTGAACGTGAAGAGACACTTACTGAAATCCAGTTGAATGGGGATCCTCCTGAAGAATCCAGTCCATTGCCTGCTATTCCTGTAGAGCCTTCAGTTAACGATGACATAGTTGACAATGACTTGACTTTCAGACGTTTGACGCGACAAAGAGCACTGCCTGAGCGATTACAATACTCGACCTTAGGTAATCCTCGGACGTTAAAGGGGGGAGGGTGTAACCCAGGTTAAAATTCCATGGTCCCATTTACCAGTCACCTGAACACACCCTTCATTCACATCTTTGTGCAGGAGTCACATGGTAGTCTCAGTGAATGCTTTCAACCAATCATAGCACTCAAGCGCGTTTTTACAAGCTGCAGTGAGTTTCCCCAATCAGTAGTGCGAGGGGGAAGCCACTGGAGCAGCTGCACTTGGTATGTCTCTACACAAACAATGCTATTTTCGCTTATTTTTCATCTTAAATGCTCGTTTGACTCTAGCATGCGATTCTGTATTTGTAGTGTCCACTACCGTTGTCTTTAGAAGCCAACTGGTGCCGCGGTGTGTCGAATATCTGCGGGAATTGGTGAGTCTGTTTGTTGTTGTGTTGCTATTGGCATTAGCATCCCTATGTATTTTAATGGGATTTTCACTAGCTTAATGCTAATAGCATTAGCTTTCCATTCACTCCTGTGGAGTTTCTATTGGGTTCAATGCATTATAATGCAAACTTAGCTCTTTGTTTTCAATGCTATGGCTTTGTTTAAGTATTTAAATGGTTCATTTACATACTGAATGACAAAATTATCAATTGTATTGAATGGAATGTTATGTTGTAAATAATCCTAATATTTATGGGTGTTTATTTACATGCATTTAAGTATTTGTACAATTTTGTTGTTGTCATTTAACATATTTATGACAATTACTTATGTATTTTGAATACTATTGTATTGTGTACACATAAAATATAGAACATAAAACTAGCTAGTAGGTAAATTATATTATGAGTAGTGACTAAACCATGGGTCCTGTTTATTTAATACAGGCCAGGTGAGGCCAGTTGTGGGCCAGTTGATAGCGAGCTACTACTACCTGGAACAGAACCTGCCCCAATAACATCATCGCCCCCTGTAGGGTCTGGTAGGAGGCTGTTGCAGCTCTGCTCACCCCCTCCACTCTCATTTACACACACAGCCATTCACTAAGCTCTGGCTCATGGACAATTTGCATCCCACAGACCGTTCTCGTTATTTGGACGTGGCGTTCATCTCTCATGAACAAAGAATATAGTCCTAGTGTGTTGTCTTTAATCTGAGTACTACTTTTTCTGAGTTGTATTGTGGTTTTTTTCTGTGAACTACTGAATCAACGGAACTGAATTTCCTCAAGTGCACTTTATCAAAACCAACTTCTCTGCAGATTGTAAATATTTGGGGTTTTGTTATTGTTTTTGTCTTTGTTTTCACTTAATACATGGCACCAACACCAAATCTAATTATCCGCCTCCGTGTTGTTATTTACCCTTTCAACACCTCCTTGAGACGAACCCTATCTTCTGTAGCCCAATCATTATTTAACCCTCTATAGCCATATCCATCTGCTATATAACACATATACCCCACGTATATGCTACATATGTAGAATCAACCGAGCACACATCACTCAGTCCTAAAACGTCCCCAACATCAGACTCTCCTTCACTCACGCTGAGCAAGTCTGCATGCCTGTTTAGTGGTAGACAAAAAGCATTGCCAATAGTAACATAGAATGTTGATCTAAAGTGAGAAATGGTAGTTCATTTTACCTGCCAGCCCTTATGGGTAGCCTATAAATGCACATTTTTTAAATCTGGCTTTATGTTGACAACAGGGATTCTACACTCACCTAAAAGATTATTAGGAACACCATACTAATACTGTGTTTGACCCCCTTTCGCCTTAAGAACTGCCTTAATTCTATGTGGCATTGATTCAACAAGGTGCTGAAAGCATTCTTAGAAATGTTGGCCCATATTGATAGGATAGCATCTTGCAGTTGATGGAGATTTGTGGGATGCACATCCAGGGCACGAAGCTCCCGTTCCACCACATCCCAAAGATGCTCTATTGGGTTGAGATCTGGTGACTGGGGGCCATTTTAGTACAGTGAACTCATTGTCATGTTCAAGAAACCAATTTGAAATGATTCGAGCTTTGTGACATGGTGCATTATCCTGCTGGAAGTAGCCATCAGAGGATGGGTACATGGTGGCCTTAAAGGGATGGACATGGTCAGAAACAATGCTCAGGTAGGCCGTGGCATTTAAACGAGGCCCAATTGGCACTAAGGGGCCTAAAGTGTGCCAAGAAAACATCCCACAAATTCTGACTCTACCATCTGAATGTCTCAACAGAAATCGAGACTCATCAGACCAGGCAACATTTTTCCAGTCTTCAACTGTCCAATTTTGGTGAGCTCTTGCAAATTGTAGCCTCTTTTTCCTATTTGTAGTGGAGATGAGTGGTACCCGGTGGGGTCTTCTGCTGTTGTAGCCCATCCGCCTCAAGGTTGTGCGTGTTGTGGCTTCACAAATGCTTTGCTGCATACCTCGGTTGTAACGAGTGGTTATTTCAGTCAAAGTTGCTCTTCTATCAGCTTGAATCAGTCGGCCCATTCTCCTCTGACCTCTAGCATCAACAAGGCATTTTCGCCCACAGGACTGCCGCATACTGGATGTTTTTCCCTTTTCACACCATTCTTTGTAAACCCTAGAAATGGTTGTGCGTGAAAATCACAGTAACTGAGCAGATTGTGAAATACTCAGACCTGCTCATCTGGCACCAACGACCGTGCCACGCTCAAAATTGCTTAAATCACCTTTCTTTCCCATTCTGACATTCAGTTTGGAGTTCAGGAGATTGTCTTGACCAGGACCACACCCCTAAATGCATTGAAGCAACTGCCATGTGATTGGTTGATTAGATAATTGCATTAATGAGAAATTGAACAGGTGTTCCTAATAATCCTTTAGGTGAGTGTACATAACACACAAAAGTCAAAGACTGACATCAACTAAAATAAGGTAGTCTACTTGCAACACATCACTGCCACAGATATACCAAAGCCTTTCAGGCAAAAAAAATGCTATGCCTCCAAAGCGTATCATATTGCTCCCTGATAGGTGTGGCAAAAAAACCACTTTGGTGGACAAAAGCACTTAGTGAGACCTAGCCCTAGCATAATCCACTTATATTGTGCATCAATCTGCTCAGTATGTTTCAGTCACATTTTAGCCAGGAATACAGAAACTGTATTGCTATTCAAATGCATTATAACCAACATGATGACTTGTATTGTTTTTGTCTTGTATTGTTTTTGTTTTATTGTCTTTTGGGTATTATTGTCTTTACACTTGTTAAAGCACTTTGTAACTTGTGTTTGAAAAGTGCTCTACAAATAAAGGTTATTATTATTATAAAAGATTAAAGCTGCAAGCAGCGTTGGGCGGGCCCTCACATGTGGGGAGTGCCAAAAATGACCATTAAATCCAAAATGGCCGACTTCTTGTTGGGTGTCAGGTATCGCTCCAACAAGCATTTTAGGGGGCGCTAACAGAAAAAGAAAAATAATTCCTTCAGTTCCAATGGGGACCTGGCACATTGTTGTGCTCGGGCCCTTAAGACAATCTGTACAGACAGCAATGCACTCCATTACAGTCTCATGCATGGATTGGCGCAAGAAGTAGATTGCAGATAGTTTCACATGGTTTGTCTCATTTGAAAGATACTGTTGCGGTGACAGCCCGGCTGTTGGTGAGTGTCCTGTTTCTCCTTTCCTCCCTCGCATTCTGTTTTTTCCTGTGCCTCCTCTCTCTCCCCCTCTGTGTGCTCTACCCCTCTCCGCTCCGGAGCGCGGCTGGTTACCCACACCTGCTTCTCGTTAACCTCCATCCCCGACCGCTGCACCTGCCAGCTATCAGCTTCATCATGACCAGTACTTCTACCCCGGCTCTCCACGCCATCCTCGCTCGATTGTCGCAGCTCCAGACTTGGTGTCACCGCTTTGTTCCAGCATTTTATGAATCTCTCTTCTTGTCTTACCTTCTCGTCACCTGCTAACCCTGTCTGTCTGTTTCCTCCCGCCAGGTTCACTCACCTCTGCCTCCCCGTTCGGCCAGCCGGGCTTGCTCACCAGCCTTTTTTTGGGTCCGTTCTGTCACAAGATACTATGATTAAATGAAAATTCTACACATAGTTTAATTAGTTTTTAATGTTAAATTTGAGTTTGAGTATCTACACTACAATGACGTGATGAATAAGAACTTAAGTAAACTGCCTGACCTCAACTTCAGCAAATCATGTAGATTATGCACTACTTCCAGCTTGTAAAATTAGAAGAGTTGCAATTAGAGGTAATTTAAAATCAAATTATTATTTGGTAGCAGAGTGAGGAAACTGAAATCAAATGATACATTTGCATCAGTGAAAAAACAAAACCAGCCTCCTCTTCCTCTGTGTAGCAAACTTTCTCCATTATGCAAATATGGGTTCACACTATTTGACACTGATTTTGAATTAATTATGCAAACACATTTTAGGCAGGAAATGTAAAGCTCAAAATATATATATATATATATATATATATATATATATACACACACACACACTGAGAAAACAAAAAATGGTAGGATGGTCTTTGGTCCCCACCTGTAACTTTCTCCCTCTGTCTCTTGCTCTCTGGTGCCTAATCAAAGCCTAATTGGTGTTTGGCCATATCAGTGACTCAGCAGCAGTTCGACCCTTCCTGAGCCTTGCTGGAACCTACCTACCAATCAACATGTTATTATCCTGACAAAGGGATGCTTTTTCTTTCAATTTGTTTGTGAATGGGAGACAGAGAGAGAGAGACATTGAGGGACAATGTGTGTGTTTTTATGTCTCAGAATAAATGCCAAGTGTTATGTGTGTGACAGGAAAACCAATAATTTGTGTTTTTTTTAGATGTGAATAAACAATCATGTGAGTGTCTGAGGTTGAGGGTGAAAGGTCTACTGATAAATATGAAAAATACATGTAACACATAAGTAGACTTTAGTGCTTTGATAGCGGCAAAATATTTAAATAAATAAATTCTTTGATAGTGGTGCAGAAATAGATCTCAGTTATAAAAGCAACAGTTACTCACATAATCACTTCACAAAATAAAAGCACGAGAAGGTTTTTTGCAGCAATGCTTTATTTTGACTTGAATTGACAACTTTTTCTGATGGACATTAAAAAGGGTCTGTAGTTTGCTGGACACACCTTTGAAATAGCCATCAGAAAACGTGATTCCCCTAAATGTCCTCTGCCTGGGGAAATGAAAAGCGTCGTAGGTTGATGGATGCGGATCAATCACCGGAAGCACAGGCTTTATTATGAGCACGTCGCTTCATAATCAATTTGTTAAAGAGGGGGAAAAAAATTTCTTCAGACATGTGATGCAACACGCAACCTTCTAGATGCGAGTCTTGCCCTTTACTGACGGAGCTAACCAAACACCATAACCTTCAATTTAAATTTTATGTCTTATGTTCATGCTCCGACCCGTGCTGTAAATGATTATTTCTTCTTCTTCTTAAAACATTTGCATTCAACGTAGTGACGAACGTCTACACTGCCAGAATTCTACAAGAAGAAGAACACTGTGACAAAAGGCACTCTGTTGAGCAGTTTGTCCATTTTGGGCTACTATAGAAACATGGTGCTGGAACATGCCGACGTCCATGTAAGGGGGACCCGCGTTGTTGGAAATAGAAATTGCTCATTCTCAGTCACATACGATACGTGTACGTGACAGAGAGGCTATCTGTGTTTGCATCTAAGGATTATTTGGATATGAGAATGTCTGTTTGTGTGCCTTGTGGCAGGGTATCTGTGTGTGTGTGTGTGTGTGCGTGCGTGCGTTCAGGTCAGCCTGTCCAGAGAAGCAGTCAGATCTTCTCTCTGAGGTCAGACCCTTTCATCTCTATTTTCTGCTTTTTCTTTCCTCCCACTAATCCTCCCTTGTTCGTCTGAAGGAAGTGTTACATTTGAACTAGAGTTTTCCAGGGTATGTAGCCTGATTGTAAAGTGTTGCAAGCTACAAGTAAAATGTATTTCCATCTGCATGTGATGTTCACTTTCCAGCACAGCAGTGTTTATTGTTTTTTTATTATATCCAGTCCATTAATATTAATGACGGTAGGCTAAATGATAGAAATGCCTCTCTGTACATGCAATTTCAACAACGCCACAAACTACATCCTCCACAATTATCATAAAGTTGAATCAACACCCCAGTAAAACTGTTTCATCATAACCTTAACATTATAACTCCTTGAAGAGAGGATTTATTGGATTTTTTGTTGTATTAGACTGCATTAGTTTAAGCAAGGTTTACCTCATAAACTGGTATTCTAAGACATAAATCAGGTAAAGTAATGTAGTTCAAATGCCAGTTAAGTATGAATTGCACCAAATTTGGATACATATATCT